ATAAATAAAGGGTAAATGAAAATGAAAAAAAAAAAACACTCTTCAAAATCACCATGTTAACACTGTAGTGTGGTCAAGGACAGCTTTGCTGAGGACATACGGTCCCACCAAATGTGTTATTTAAAACACGTACGGTCCCACCAAATGTGGGGTGCTGCTTCGCTGTACCTTCACTAACAATTATTTCAATATAACGGGTTCTTTCTTTTTCGAGTTAAATTAACGCCATGTGACGAGGTAACTGTGAGGATTGTTTAACCAGTGACAAGAGACGTTAATTTTCCTTTGACCCATCAGAATAAATGCGGTCATTTATTTAACAGAATCAAAATTTAACATCAAAACACGTACACATGATTAGCTGATCTGGTTCTGATTAATAAAACTTGGCACGCTTTACTAATAAGACAAAACATTTCTGAAGGCATCTGGATTACTGGCAAAATAGAAGAGTTTAAAGGGAGGGGTTTAGAGGTTTAAAGAAAAGATGAGTGAAGAGAGGTGTATGTTGTTGACCAAACTTGGCACGCTTCTTTCAATCACCAGCTCAAACCTCCGGTACACTTAGCACGTCATGACTCGTTACCTTCGCAGGAGATAAATCAGCTCCGGTGTTGGGTCCATTTCAACGCTACTTTCAGCGTCTCCGGTAAGAGCGGCTGGTCATCGTCAGAAGTCGTGTCGATTTACTCAGTTCAACAAACAGGCTCAGCTCCCTTCGAAGTTGGAGGCGTTACACCCGGGTGGATTCACAGCAAGCATCTGTGAGTCCGTCAGAGTTTCCACTCAGAAGTGGAAGACTCCACAAGGCTTGAGAAGACTCCATCAAAGACTGAGTTCAACTCAGATCCAAGACTTCAGAAGAACGGAGTAGACTCCGTAGTTCCAGGAAGTGTGGACTTTTAAAGAGTTCTCACTTCCGGTCACTTAGGACTTCCTGATTGGTTGAAACAACCAACAGGGGGTGTTCTAGTGATGTCAGAGGGTTATTAAAAGTCAAAAGAGGATTCAGTAATGTTTAGGAACGTTTAGTACAGACAGAGAAATGTTATGGCGAAGTGAGAGGAACGCAGATGCCAGTGTTTCTCTTTTTACCGTCTGCTATGTTTAAAAACAATACAGCCCGTTCTAATAACTTCTTTCTGACTGTCTCTGACTTTTGACCGACATCACTACTTCCCCTTTAGACAGAAAATCAAAATGCATAATTACTTTGTAAATAGACATTTAACTTGATTTCTAATTTAAATGAGGTATAAAAAAATAATTAATACTGTTTCACAGTTGATTTAAAATGAGTGGTTCACTTCAACATTAGGAATGATATGAACTAAACACCCTTTGATTATCAAGATATTGTAAAATAGTAATGATAATAAAAAAGAAGAGTGTTCTTTCAATTGATTATTTCAGGATACAATTAGACAGTCTCTGGATGAGCTAATTTGTATTTCTGGATTCAAATCAATGAAATAACAGTTCCTGTCCCATGAAGGTCTTCAGAGACAGGTTTTGGTCGGAGGCCTAGTTCACTACAACACATACTAGGAATGTTATGGCTTTAAAAAAATTGTGAAAGTCCATTTAATGGTGTCATAGCTTTGAAAACTTTTGATTGTTTAGTAAGTTAGTTGGAGACACCTCATCACGGAAAATAAAACAGCCAAGTTATCAGGAAGAGAATGGCGGACCTCCACAACTCTGGTTCATCCTTAGGTACAATGTCCAGATGTTCCACATTCATATGTTCAGATATATGGAAGTATTACCTGAATGTTCTGCTGTCACACTGCTCAGGAAGGAGATGGGTTTTATATTCCCAATAATAAAGGCACAACTTCAATGTGTAACTACGTATGTGGCTATAATTGCAGGGATGCATGATATTGGACTTTTGGCCAATATCCAATATGTTACTCATTTGGCCAATATCCAATATGTTACTCATTTGGCCAATATCCAATATGTTACTCATTTGGCCAATATCCAATACCTATACCGATGTTTTTCCCCTGAACCTAGTTACATAGACTACATAGCTTTCTCTGCTGTGTAATTAAAATACTACATTCTTCTGCATGATCTTTGTCAGTTTGGCCTGCTACCAAATGCAGATGCCAAAAAGGTGGCTGAAAATGATGTAACACTTTAACTTGGATTATTTTTAATGTCAATTTTATTCATGACATTTACTCTCTCCAACACAATGACAACACTCGAACAGTGCAAATTTGTAAATTTTCAAAAATCTAAACTCAATGGCACGCATGATGTCTTTTTTTTTTTTTTGTGATGGCCTCCCTTCTCCCCTTACAGCCATCCTCTCCACACCATTATTATGAAATATTTATTCTAGTGACTATCTAGTGTAGGTTTTTTTTTTTTTTAATAGGATAGAAAGAAAGAAAAGACAAAGAAAGACTCCAAAATATAAGAAATATACACAAAGAGAGCACACGGCAAAACAACCGGCCACTGTCTGTTCACCTGCAAAGAACATGACAAAACACAGCAACAAAATACATATGTATAAAGAACTTAAAATATTCATTGCTTTGCAGTAAGTTTCCATAAATATATATGCCCATACCTACGTCTATATACATACATACATACACATGAATATAAATTCATATACATATCTATATATCTACATATAAAGCCTACATAAGCATCCCTGCTTCTATTTGTGTGTGGTTGTGAGCATGCATAAGTGTATAAGGCTTCTCTAATAGAACATTTAATAGTAACTGTGAAGCAGCAGAGACCCGACCCCCAAGACCAGAGGCAGACAAAAAAAGGGGGGATCAGAGCCCAAGACCCCAGGAGGGACCCCGACCGCGGAGCCCCCAGGGCCACCCACACAGGACGAACCACTCGCCCACCCCCCAGATCGGACTACAGGGGAGAGCCGGAAGAACCCCACCAGCGACCACATACAGTGACCCCCCGGGGCCAACAGCGACGAACTCATAGGCCCCCGCCGGAACCCGCCGCAGCGATTCAGCTCCAGGCCCGGGCACGAAGGCCCGGGCACCGAGGACCCACACCACCCAGGCCAAGGCCTGACAGGGCCAGAGGACCCGAGCCCCACCAGGCAAACACCAGGCCGAGCCGACACAGGCCCAAGCGCCCAGCCCCCGACTCCAAGGGCCCCAAGCGCGCCGGCAGGCAAGGGCACACCCCACCGCGCATGATGTCTTAACGTTGTGCTGGCGCTGCAGGCATCCTTGTCACTGGGTTGTCATACAAAA